CGACAAACCTCACTGGTTTCAGGGGAAGCACCTTCCCGCCTTGACCGCCTGCTTTAGCTGTTCTGGTGCAGGTTCAACCTTCTGGCTGCTTCACAGCAAAAGCCTTTTTCCATCACGGAGTATGAATGCTGCCTCGACATTTCCACTCCCCACAAAGCACGAGTGGAAAGATGAGCCACATCTATCGCAGCGTGGCGTCTGCTCTGCCGATTGCTTTGCTTCTGCCAAGGCAGACGGGGTACTCGAAGCACTAGGGTTCATCGCCGACAAGCCCGCTGCGTGCAGTGCACCAGGAGAGGTGCGAACACTCCTTTAGGGAGAAAAATGGCTGCGGAACAAATGGTATTATGGGATGCGGTGCGACAAGCGGCAGTTAAAATCTTAGAGAACAGCAATGAGGGCAGAGGGTGGGTAATTTACGAGGCACAATGCAACCTGCAGGATGCAGTTCAGAGGTATTTTTTAAATAAAAGGTTCTGAATTTTTTGTATTTTGTATGGAAATTTTGAATTTAGACAATCCTACAGTGAGAAGGACAGAGTGGCACCAACAAAAATGCCTGCTAAAGGAACGAATTAGGTCACCATGAAGCTTGACCCTGGAGAGAACACACTGCTAAAACATACCAGTAGGAGACTCGCTGTACGAATACCGCCATGGCACACCTGCTGTCGCTGGACACTGGGATTGACAGTCATTTCCATTTCTTTCAACATCCAAAAATTACACGCTGTAACAAGTGCCGTGTTCCAACACCGAGACGACCAAGTTAACACAGCCTCCCCATCTACACGGCTGACTTCTGCTTAACTAAATCCAATGTAACGCTGATCTCCTGCTATACTTAACAAAACAAATGCCCCCTCCCACAAATGTAATAATTGAACAGATGGGACTTCAGTTCTTCCCGGAGAGGGTGGTGAGGCACTGGCACAGGTTGCCCAGAGAAGCTGTGGATGCCCCATCCCTGGAAGTGTTCAAGGCCAGGCTGGATGAGGCTTGGAGCAACCTGGTCTAGTGGAAGGTGTCCCTGCCCATGGCAGGGGGTTGGAACTAGATGGTCTTTAAGGTCCCTTCCAACCCAAACCGTTCTGTGGTTCTGTGATACTGTCACACACACATTCTTTAACTCCCCAAACCAGCTCATAGACTATCACATAACACATAATAAAAGCTTAGGTTTAGCAACAGATGATCCTTGCATAAACAGAAATGTTTACTTTTTAAGTCCTTCAACAGCAGGAAACTCATTTAAACTTAGAACCAGCCAAAAAAATCCTAATGCACGTATAAATCTGCAAGCAGAGTAACTGGCAACGTCTTGTCCCACGCCTTCGGACGTCTGTAGCCATATTTAAGACACCCACCTAAACACACTGAAGTATTTATATTTGTTGCTGTATTTACATAATATACTCTTAAGCTCACTCCATTCGACTTTTTGAGAATCTGAGGAAATAGAAGGTTTTCTTTTAAGACAGATGCAAAAGGTCAGAAATCCACTTCTTGGGTTCTCCTCGGATGCTCCCTGAAGTTTCACGTTACAGCTATTACGGCTCAGGTGCAACTGCTCAGAAGGTGTGAAATGATGCCTTTTTGTCCCAGCTGATTTTGAAACCATGCAGCACTGAAGACCATGCGAAGTTTGATGAGAATCAGCAGAGGAGCATAAGGAAGTACTCAGCTTCAGTGCTGAGAGAAGTAGCTTGGTTTCCTAAAGGAAAGTTATAGAAAGGTGGTTACATAAATTCACAAAAAACCTGTACTTCACCTAACTAAATACTAAAAAAAATACATCTACGCTTACTACTTGAAGTAAAAATTCACCTAAGCCTTAAGGCTGAACCTGTGTTAAAGCTGTGTTGAACCTGTGTTAACCTGTCCCGGTCCCTTCCCTTTCGTGCTACTGAACTTCTCCAGCAAAGATCAAAATACGATGATGCACTGTAGAGTCCCAATATGGAGAAACTGTACTAAATCAGTAAAGTCTAGTGAAGGAAAACAAACAACCAAACAACAACAAACCCAACCAACCAACAAGCCCCTACCTAACCCTCCCAAACTACCTTGCTTATTCAGGATTATATACAAACCTCAGTAGTAATGTGTGAGAGCACAAAACCGTCAGAGAATACAGGATTTTGAAATGTCAGAAAAGATGTCTACGGGCACATGGGAATCAGTAAGAAAATTTAAAATTTATATACCATGAGAAGTATAGTGAAATGTAAGTTAATTTTTACAGTGATATTTTGAAATTTTTCATCTAGAAAAACTCTAATATTAATCAAACACCCATGAAGCTGATAGATGGTTTAGTGGGAAACACACAAAGTTGATTTTCTACATCTTGTTAATATGGAAATATATTCCCTTAAAACATTGAGAAAGCATTCCAGTTCCACTGATAACTGCTGAAAACTGGGAATGGGCAGCGTCGATATCTGCAGTCACACCTGTGTCGCTGTCCCTTCTTGTATTTACCTAGACAACATGACTATCCCCTAATGACTATTTGGCGTATCCCAAAATGGAAACACGGGAAGTTCGTGCCAGACAGTGTTACTGACAAAACTGTATCTTGTCAGTAAAAATTCTTGACTTAGCAGTCTGTTTACCTCCTTTCCTCCTCTTGAAAATGTCACCTGAAGAATTAAGGCTCAATTTACAAAGAATTAACTGTTGCACTTGTATGTATTCAGAACATGCGTATTTTTTTGTTTAATACTAATTACATTCTACTTCTTGTCTGAGAATAAAATGGAAACCAAACAGAAGAGGATCAAAGGAAGGCAGTTTTATTTCTGCAAACAACCCAGAATTTTTGTAATTTCAGATAGCGTAATTTTCTTAATGAAATTTGGTGGATTATTGATGTTAGTGGCAACTTCTCATGCTCCTGTGTACCTGCACAGGAGCCTGTTTCAGCTTTCCAGCCGCAGCCTGCATAACCCCAGAGTAACAGCACATGCCACAGTCCACATGCCGTAATGTGGGATCCTGTCATAGATTAGATACTTGTTCATAGAATCACAGAATGGTTTGGGTTGGAAGGGACCTTAAAGATCATGTAGTTCCAACCCCCTGCCATGGGCAGGGACACCTTCCACTAGACCAGGTTGCTCAAAGCCTCATCCAGCCTGGCCTTGAACACTTCCAGGGATGGGGCATCCACAGCTTCTCTGGGCAACCTGTGCCAGTGCGTCACCACCCTCTCCGGGAAGAATTTCTTCCTGATATCTAATCTAAACCTCCCCCCTTTCAATTTAAACCCGTTACCCCTTGTCCTGTCACTACAGGCCCTTGTAAAAACTCCCCCCCAGCTTCCTTGTAGCCCCTTCAGGTACTGGAAGGTGCTATAAGGTCTCCCCGGAACTTGTTGCTCCAAGTTACTTCCAATAGTAGAAAATTTAAAAATTTTCAATAGTACAAAATTTGAAAATGCAGAGCAGAGCTAGCATTAAAAAGACAGAACAAAGAAGCAGTAGCAGAGTGACTTTTTGTGCTGGTTACACTCTTATGTCATAGAGATAACTGCTTATCACCTCTTCTCACTCTGTCCTCAGACCAGCATTTTCTCTGAGCTATAATAGATTAAATTGTAGTTTATGGTCAAACTTATGGAATGGTTTATCTGATGACATGGGAACACTAATGGCATTGAAAAGCATTGGAGATTCTCTTCTGTTTTTGCTACTGCTTCAGTAATGTCACAGAGAAGGCTTTGTAAATATTTTTGGGTGACCACTTGCATGTCTTTTATGCTTCGTTTACAAGGAACAATGTCCTCAGTTCCTCCCTCAAGAACAAGGAGCAGCCTCACATCACAGTTTGTTCACAAGGCTATTAAACTGATTTTTTCCCCCTGAAATTTAATGTAAAAAGTCCTCAACCTGATAAAAACTGCCTGGTGTACAGACTTACCCCTGTACTCTGCTTCATGTTACCTCTATGTGACCGTTTGAGTGATTACACCTTTCACAGTCAGTCAGTGGTTTAAAAACGTGAAACAGCTGCATCTCTTGTAGAGTTTTCATTTTTATTTCAGCAATAGCTAGGTGTAACCTGCAGAGAAACATAACCCTCCAACTTTTTACAATTCTATTTTTATCTAGCTCTGCATGCCTCAAGCACTCGTTCTCACTCCTTTGTAGTTAGGTTTTTTACCTCTTTATCAGTCTGTAGAGTCATTTGCTGTTCCATTACGCTTTCTCTTTGGCTGGGTGTCAGCGGCCGACGAGTTCTGAAGTGATGAAACTTCTATGCATGTTCTATGTTTGGAGATTTCAAAGGACTTGGCAACGCTGCCATCAAGAGACTTCGCCGAAATCAGTACTTCACTCTGTTCCTGGTTATTATCCAACTCAACAGTGGCTGCATTTTCAGTCTCGGGGCTGCAGGACTTTGCAGATCCTCCAGCCAGTCCTGAGCATGATTCACAGAGAGAAATGCTGTCACAACAAGCCGAGTTTGGCATAAGAGGCCAAGCATCTGAAATGTCTCCACAGGCAGAGTGTGAAAGAGAACCGAGGAAGGTAGGAATCATTTCTCCAACAGAATCGGGAGCCCTGCAAAAGGATAACAGACACATGGTTTCAAAGGCATTCCAGAAAAATATTACCAGTATTGTGATTACTGTCGTTAGTAATTACAGGTATTTCAAGAATGTTTAACAGGATTATATTAATACTGTACAAATACCTGTACAAACAAATTGTTTTGAAAAGGAATGCATTTTATTCCCTGTCTGGAAATGAAGAAAGCTCTAGAGAGCGCTACAAAAGAGCATGCCTAGAGCCCTTCACAATGTGGATTCAGGGTTCCAGAAAACATGAACTATAGCTGGGGTTCTCTATAGTCTAAAGAACAGAAATAGGATAAAAAACGCTACAGTAGTGGTCAGATACAAGGGCTGTTGGTAAGAGTAAGGCATTTCTTTTTTCTTACTGCATGGGGGGCGGGGTGTGTGTTAAGACGAGGTAACAGGCTTAAACTGCAGCATGAAAGATGTTTGGGAAGACTATGCAATCTCCAACACAAGGGTTTTTTGGGAAAAAAAATAGACAAATATCTAACAGAAGTCAAAGAAGTAAATGGGTTCAGAATGGGAGAAGGGAATAGACAACCAGGCTGCTCAAAACGCCCGTCTCTGCGATTTCACACCGAACATGCATTCACTTGAGATTTTTCAGTTTGTTCTGTCCAGGCTTCAAACTGCAAACAGTTTTTCTCCCGCTCTCTTTCATGGCAAAAGGACATAATATCAAAGAAGAGCAAGGATTTTTAATTTTCACATGGATTATTTTTAAGAAAATTGGAAGAAAGTGGAAATAGAGACTAACAGAGTATTATCTATCTCAAGTGTATTTGAAGTGCATGATGGCACCGACATGCCAGAGTGCCCTACACATGCCTATCTCTGTTCAAAGCCCAGAAACATTTTTTACTGTAGCATACCAAAGTGAGCATTAACAAAACCAAAAAGATACACTAATACATTTTGTTTCCATACACTGTCTACAGATCTATAAAACTGTCAAGGCTATATTAAGCCTGCTATACAGCAATAACCTGTGTAACAAAAATCACCCAACAGTAACATTGTCCATAACAGATTTTAAGTAGTCTTACTCATTTCCAAAACACGGTGCTTTAATACCTTTGATGTACACACAAGGCCTTTTCAGAGATGAGGCCAAAAGTCAGGAGATTGCACCACAATTGAAGGAAATACGTTATTTTGGCAAAGGAAATTGGCGCAAACTCCGTTTCTTCTGGAAGGAACCGCGGGATCTTTGATGTCCACGTAGCATGGATATAACATTTATTTTTAAAGCCTTAACCCAAAAGTCCCTCACAAAGTACACAACTCTCAGTTTGTCAGTCCTGGTGGTTTACAAGGATGACTCAAGCTTGCTGGTATTTAAACTAGTTGTTATAGAAAACTGAGGTATTTTGTATCTTGTAGCTGGGTCACTAAGTCGCCTTGCATAAACAATACCTATGAAGAAACTGCCTCTACAGTTTTAGTTACATTTGGCCGTAAGAAGAAAACAGCTGGAGACTAAATTAAACCTTATATGGAAAAAAAATCTAGCTAAAGAAATAAATACATCCTGTGTAAAAATCTGGAACCAGGAAACCCTGAATGACACCATAAATTTTATATATTTAGCTCAGGGCACTGCTGTAGAAGTAACTATTCTACTACTGTATTTATATTCGGCTGATGAGGAGAAAATAATGGTTACAATCTAGTAGAAATTCAGAAATGCTAGATATTTAAAATTTCACAGTCATTAAGCATTTCCCAAAAAAAGTCTTTGTGACACTCCCAAACTGTACCTTAATCCCCCCAGACTCACAGGTTTATAGAGCACCTAGCTAACCCATAGCAGAAGAGGGGGTCAATAAAGCCTCTAAGGTACCACAGGGCACGAGGAAGACTATCTGCTTGTGAGAGAAGTCAGTCACTTCAGAGAAACTGATGTATCAAGTCATAGAATCACAGAATGGTTTGGGTTGGAAGCGACTTCAAAGACCATCCAGTTCCAACCCCCTGCCATGGGCAGGGACACCTTCCACTAGACCAGGTTGCTCAAAGCCTCATCCAGCCTGGCCTTGAACACTTCCAGGGATGGGGCATCCACAGCTTCTCTGGGCAAACTGTTCCAGTGCCTCACTACCCTCTCTGTGAAGAACTTCTTCCTGATATCTAATCTAAACCTCCCCACTTTCAATTTAAACCCATTACCCCTTGTCCTGTCACTACAGGCCCTTGTAAAAAGTCCCCCCCAGCTTCCTTGTAGCCCCTTCAGGTACTGGAAGGTGCTATAAGGTTTTCCCAGAGCCTTCTCTTCTCCAGGCTGAACAAGCCCAACTCTCTCAGCCTTTCATCATAGGACAGGATATGGCCACAGTTCATCAAAATCACTCATTCCACTCCAAACAGCTATCTTATCTGTATAAATATTAATTTGCCTGCATAAGAAATATTTCATGTTTAAAATACATTTACAAAGCTAAGTTACCTTTCATTAAGCGTAGTTTGTGAGTGGAAAGGACAACTGTGACTGCTGTGCTCCATGCTACAGGTTTCATCACAGCACAGTGATGGAATCAAGTGAACTGGTCCTAAGGAATGAAAAAATAATTTAATAATGTTAAAAGTGTTAAAAGCTCGTATAAACTTAGTCTCTGTATGATTTCAAACTTACAGAGTATTAGTTTTCCAGTTACATTATAACATATGGATTGAGGAAAGGAATTTCTTATTGCAGAAATGGGTTAATGTATTACTTTAAAAAACAAATTACTCATAAAAGCCAAGCCGTTCCTCCAGGAGTAATATAGATGCCAGTCATTAATATCTACTTTTTAAATTAATTTGCTTCTCAATTAGATAGGCGTGAGGAAGTACCACGTTCTGAGTTAACTTATTTGGATGATATTTAAGCCTGTGCTCTTATGTTAAATTATGTATTTGTTAATGTCATAAATGCATCTGTTCTGATACAAGTTAAAAAAAATCTCAATTATTTTAATTTTTCAGGTCGTGATATGTCCCTTAGTGCTCATATCACATTCTTAAGATACTGTGGGGTAAACCCTTCACACTAACGTGCCTCAAAGCCAGATGCAGTGATATTTTTGTCAGAAAGCAATGAGATAAGAAAAAAAAAAGAGCTTTAAATGTCTAAGTGAAAGGTCATTGGAATGAAAACAGCAAAAAATATCGTAACCAAATAGCTACTTAGAAATTCTCCCTACTTATTGAGAAATCAGCCTAGGACAAAGGGTGGTTTAACTTCAACAACTCTGTAGTTGAAGTTAAATGTCACAACCCAAGTGTTAGATGTCACCTTCTCGTAGACCTAACGTACCGCACGTCTGGGATGTGCCTCTCTGGCACTGGCAACACGTTCTGTGGTCATACTCATTCAGCCGAGGTCGGTCAAAACAGGACAACTCAGAGCCATTGCAGTGCATGTCCTGTGATCTCAGAGACCCTTTGGACAAAATGCATAAGAACAGATATTAGTAAATGATGCCCTCTTTCCTGTTCAGAGCCTCCCATCTTCATAAAATGCTTCGATGTCACACGATACACTATTTCCATACATTTTTCAACTGAAAGATCTAAGATGATCGTGCGGTTTCACGTAACACAAACCACAGATTCTGCAACAAACCCTAAAACAGCTGGTTCAACTACAGCTTTTTCTAAGAAGACATCTGCTCTTATTTTGATGATCTGAGAGTGTATCTTATTCACTGTTACATTTTCTTAGTGTTTAATGATTCCCAGTGATTCCCATCTGAAATTTTCCATACTCAGCTTTCAGCCACTGGGATTCTGTTTATGTTATCTTGAAGAGCTTTATATTAACAGAATTCCTTTAATCTGTATAATTGTAGGCTAAGGCAAACGAGTTACTGAACTTCACTAACTGAAGCCTGAATTCAGATTCTCAAAGCTTACGTTGTAAAGCATCTCCTAGCTTAGAAACAATTCTTACAACGCCTCTCAATCATTTCATTTTTGCTTGTGCTGTAAACTGTGGTAACATCAATCCTTCCTAGATGTTATTCTTGTTTGACATCCAGGCTTCACTACATGCTACAAATATATTTTAATAAAGGTTTTCGGAAATGATAAATGGAAACTAGAGTGCTTTTGGCTTTTTCTTTATTTAAACTAAGGGGCAGAAAAATGTGTTTTATAAAAAAATTCATTACATTCATGAACTGTTATGGATTTTTTTTTTCTTTAATTTACAAATCTAAGTGGCTTAGGCATTTCATTCATCTTGAATGTGCCCATAAACCCAAAACAGCTAATGACAATTCTGTTATCTACATGGGCCACATTCATTATCCTGATGAGCTAATCTGAGTTTCACAATAGCATGTGATGCACAGATCCTCCAAGCTGGTATTTCCACACCGGCACTGAACTCTGTAATGACGCCCCAGCTCGGTTCCTATGATCCAAATGTATCTGTGCAGCACCTAACAGAGTATGACACGGAATTAATGCAACTGGACTATTTCTGGACATCTGCACAGCATCTTTTCGGTAGAAGCTGGAACATCCACAATGAACTGGCAAACTTGTACGGAGTCTTGGGCTTCTTCATCTCAACGCTAAACTTGCTTGAATGCTGTAGGTATTTCATATATTTACCTACAGAGAGATCTGCTAACCTAGGACTGGTATTTAAATATTACAAAGAAACAGAATAATTGGCAACTCACAGCTTGGTTTCTTCTCCATAAACTGCCTCTTACAGTAGATAACACAAAGGATAAGAAGAGCTAGGAGCACTGTCGCAAGTGCACTGCATATAACAGCTGCTAGAGCAGTGTCTCGAGGACTGGAAGCAGTCGAAGGGATCTTTACAAGATTTACTTTGGTGGTACCTGAAATATAATTAAAAAATAATTAAGGGTAACTGTAAACATTTCAGGAATACAGTCATGTAAATCGAAGTCTGCAGAACAGAAGAGGTTTGTGACACAGAAAAAAAAAGGATGTTCCATCTGCTGACAAATAAACATTAGTTGTGCGTATAGATATGACTATCAGCAACCATGTTAGGAAAAAGATCTTCAAAAAAACATATTGCAAAATGAGTGACAGTCAGTGGAGATGCACACAGACACGCAGGCACGTGAATGGATCAGATCTTCGCCATGAAAACCAAGACCCCTCAGTTTTTCACGCCAGCTGACTTGGGTCTGGAGCCCACTCGCTGGTGGCGGGCGCGGAGAGCCGCCCATCAGAGGGAGCCCCACCGACACGAGCGGCCCTTAACCCCGAAACCACCCGAGAACCGAGGCACCCCCAGCACTTCAAACAGTGTCAAAGGTATCACTCTGCTTGCTGGGGAATGTCAGGACACCACCGTCTTTTCGAGAATCAAACCTAGGGTTTCACTGCGCTAGCCCTTTTGATTCGGTGACAGTTTTTAATTACAGATAATGTCTCTAGTAAAAATTCAACAGCTTGACTTTATATGCGTATTAGCGAAGACTTAAGCAATGTTTCTAGCTCTGACAAACATTGTTACTTTGAGGTCAAACATGAGAAAGATTTTAAAAGTATCAAAACTTTACCACAACTATTGAAAATAAATTACAAATGATCGTTTAAAATTATTTTTTAAGAACCTATGAATTTTGAGACCTCATCTACTTCAATATCCTCTGAAGTCCGCACCAATACTATTTTATGAGGGAATGGAACAAAACATCAAGTATTTCTCTGACAGCAAATTTTTAAAAATCCACAAACCGTATCTTATTAACTTATCAAAATAAGTTAAATGTGCCTATTCACCCCAGAAAATCTTTGGTTAAAACCTAAAGACTATAATTTCCTAAGAAATGGTTCATGTAGTCATAAGTTTAAGCTGGGAGATGCCTGCCAGAGTATATTAAAATCACTAACCAAATTGTATATACATAAAATTGGTTGATAACTGCAATTTAATAATAGAAGACAACTAACTTGCTTGCTTAGTGCAATCAGTGGAACTGTATTACTCAGAAGCTATGGTATTTCGCTACACACACCAAACATGGGCACCAAAGCATTTACAATACCATATTGCTCTGTTACAATAGCCAGATTGCCAAAAAGCTAGTTATTTTGAAAATCAACTTTGTTCCACCCAATTCTAAGTCTTCAGACCACTTAACACCAAAGAGAATATTAAATTCTAGGAAATAAACTATCCAAAGTTAAAAAAAAAAAGACACCAAACATATTCAATAAAAGGTTTCTGTGGATTATAGTATGTAGTTGCTGCTAAGTGGGGGAATATAAATAAATGGAGACATCAGATCACAGCTATTATTCAGACGAAAGAATGCTTAGTTGCTGATTTCCTGATTTCAGTGCAAAGAGAAACAAGTGTTACAGCATTGACATCTAGAATCACAGAATGGTTTGGGCTGGAAGGGACCTTAAAGATCATCTAGTTCCACCCCCCCTGCCATGGGCAGGGACCCCTTCCACTAGATCAGGTTGCTCAAAGCCTCATCCAGCCTGGCCTTGAACACTTCCAGGGATGGGGCATCCACAGCTTCTCTGGGCAACCTGTCCCAGGGCCTCATCACCCTCTCTGGGAAGAATTTCCTCCTGATATCTAATCTAAACCTCCCCACTTTCAATTTAAACCTGTTCCCCCTTGTCCTGTCACTACAGGCCCTTGTAAAAAGGCCCCCCCAGCTTCCTTGTAGCCCCTTCAGGTAATACTCTGCTCGAGTATTCCTATTTACCTTTACTTTGTGCTGCTATGTTCCACTGTCACATCAGAACTGTGAAGGGCAAATTTGTAGCAGATCTTTTTTCTATCCTTTTAACTTGCCAAACTGGACAAGTGGAGCTACTGGACAGAGTCTAACAAAGGACCTCAAAACCAATCGAGAAACTGCAGCCTCTCTCCTGTGGGGAAAGGCTGAGAGAGCTGGGACTGCTCAGCCTAGAGAAGGCTCTGGGGAATCTCATCAATGTGGACAAATCCTTGAAGGAAGGGTGCAAAGAAGACAGAGCCAGGCGTTTTTTAGTGGACCACAGGCAATGGGCACAAACTGAAACAGATGATGCCTCTGAATATCAAGAAACACTTTTAACCGTGAGGGTGACTCAGCACTGGCCCAGATTGACCAATGGTTGTGGAGTCTCCCTCCTTGGAGATGCTTAGAAGCCATATGGACATGGTCCTGGGCAACCAGATCTAGAAGACCCTGCTTGAGCAGACAGGTTGGACCAAATGAACTCCATAGGTCCCTTCCAACTCAACCATTCTGTGATTCTGAGCTACTGAAATACAGCAGACCTCAAAACTCGTCAATAAAGAGGCTGAAGTCTCCTACAATTCTCCTACAAAGTAGAAACACATTTTGAAACTCTGTCCTTCTTCTGAAATGTTATCATTTTCATTACCACAGTAGACAGTCTATCTATTATTTGTGTTCCAGATAACAGAATAAAATTCCAGTTAGAATCATAGAATTGTTTAGGTTGGTAAAGACCTTTAAGTTCATCAGGTCCAACTGTTAGGGTCTCAGGTAGTTTTCCTCTTGAATAATTATTACCTGTTCATCTCTTTACGTTCTTCCATAATTTTTACTACTCACAGACCTAAGTTCTACAACCTCGTTTCCAGATCTTCATTGTTATTTAAAAGAAAAAGCAACCAGTGTCATAATCTTTTTGTCCTAACTTAAAAGCTCTTGGCAGGAGCATTGCATTCTTCCACAGAGAAAACTTTTCACTCAGTTTCTAGGACTCCTGCAGCTGTAGTTTTAAGTTTATAGTTGTAACAGATTGCAGAAATTTCTGCATGGTATGTAAAGTTCCAGGCTATAATTCTGTGAGAAGCAGTAACATTATATATATATATATATA